AGTGCTCTATTGGCGCTGGAGGAGCTGCGTGGCGGTAGGGCCAGGCGGCGTCGCGCGCGACAAGCAGCAAGTATATACCTGTGATCGGGCGCGCTCTGGCGTCGCGAGCGCGTGTCCGGTCGAAGTGTACGGCAGCTGCAGGTTAAGTTAGCAGTTTGCGTTATCGCGGTCTAAAACCTAACGGTCATAACAATCCAGGTCCCATCAGAGCATGGCTGGTTAAGAAGCCAGGTAGGCTGTACAAAGCGTGCGTGAAACGGGAAAATCCACGTTTGAAAAAATCGTTTCTGAACTAAAAAATCGACCGTCACTGATGGGTCGTTTCATTCGCTGAGAGGGAGTCTTGTGTCTATAGCGACCTAAATAGGGCCCCTGAAGGGTTTGGCTTCACTATGATTTACGCACTGGGGCTCGTCAGTACGGACTAATGATTCGTCAGTACGGTCTCGTTCAGTCAGTGCTGACGCGTCAGTGGCGCATTGAATTGCGTGCTGTTACGGTATAGCGAAGCATTACATGTATTTCATTGTTGAAAAGATTCTATTATATTGAATCAGTGTAAGGGAGGGATGTTGCAGATCTTGTAGTCCAATCGCACATCAAGTGCCACGGCAAAGATATACACTTCTCCGTCCGCAGGCTACTATCCTTCTCGAACCCATGCACCATGCTGAAGGGGCCCATTCACAGGGAGGGTGCGTCTCAGTAAGAGCGCCTGGTTTGATGGATGAGTCCTTATCCCGAATCATAAGTAAAAACAATTCCTGGTGAGTCTAGAAGTTTCTTACAGACCTTGAGTTAGATAGACTGGAGGGATTAGCGAAGAGGTTCGTCTTAGTAGAGGCGAAACAAACCACCAGTATTTTCCTTATTCCGAATGACTCACTATTTAAGAATCATTCTGCCCTAATATAGGTTTAAAACAACATGTTAACAGACAACAACCATCGTTTGGGAATCCCCGGCTAGGTCGCTTTTGAGTGCTGCATTGGGAGGTGTCGTTAGGGCAGGGTCAGTCAGCGGTGAAAAGTGCAATAGTCTTCTCATCGATACGAGTGAGTACAGGGATATACGACATGGGTAAATGAAGATTAAGGGGATAAGTCAGATAAAATGAGGATAAAAAGTTATAATGAGAATGACGATATGAAAACTGTGGACGTCACTGAACCCTTGTGCGGCTTGCATATGCGCAGGGATTATACAAAGTAGCCTTTTACCCCTCATGGTGGGTCTCTGAAATAAGGAGCGCGCTCCGCTGCGTTTTAACATTGAAGATTTACCTTCCGTTTCTCAAATAAAGCTCGTGAGAGAGCTACGGCTTTTCATATACGGGCTACATTTGCAAATTTCCATCGATTTTGCAAAGCTAATCGGTCTACGCGGCGAATTGCTTGTAACGGCCACCACACGACGGCTAATACTAAAGGCAGAACATTTTCTAGCGGTTCATGCTCGTTGGGAAGAAAATGGGTGGGGTGTCGGTCCTAGTACGCCTCTTGCGGCTTACGTTCCTCAGACAGGTTTTTCACTTGCTGTGATGTGCCCTGCTTGCTGGATCCGCTGAAGTGCTAGTAGTGATCTTGCTCCAATTCTTATCAGTCTTGCTGTGGGGAGACTCCTTGTTGTTGATTACGCTTTTACTCTCAGTCTTCTGAGTAAAAGTTTCCCCTCCCAAGATGAACCTTTGATTTTGAAGTTCTTGAGTTAATTCGGCGAATAGCACGGTTCTGAAACTGCTGCAGAAGCCTCTACCTCTTTAGTTCGCTCTGCCGTGGCTAGTCCTTCCACTCGCGGCTCGATCAAGGAATGTTTATAGCTCGGCGCGTCTTCGAATAGATCTAATCGACCTACCAGTCTGAATGACTCTTGATTGACGATCAGGGAACTATTCACCGTTCCAAACAGCAGGATTATATACCTACCCTACACGGAAAGGTATGAGCTGCGTTTCCCGTTGGTTGGCAACTTAACATGCTTCCTTACCATTCTGTGATTAAGAAAAATATAGAGTGAACTAGTGGCTAGAGGCTCTGCTAAGCGCTTACCTGGTCCGGAGTCACATTTTGGGTCGACTTCCACCGATGTTACGCAAGGTTCCCATCCCCCTTCCGCGGGAGAGTGTACCGGTCAGATTGTTTTGTAAAGCACAGGCCTGTGAAAATCTGATCGCATCCACTGCAGCTCTGCGATTCTGAATGGAACGATCAAATCTGGAGCGACTGGTTCCTTTTTCATCACCTCTTTGTCACGGATCGTATTGATCCATGCACTTTCCGAGCTTGATCTCGCTATCCAAGAGTTTTTGTTTTGGTTTCTGTCATTGTGAATGTTAAATAGTGGCGCATGCAAAATTCTTCAACCAAGATATATTCTCAAGACTAAAATTGTCTCCCCCCGCAAAGATGATTGCTTTCATTTATGGTGATCAGGATAAAAAAAATACAGAATGACCTGGGTTTATTCCAGACCAAAAAAAATGATACATTTTGTCGAGCAAACGAGCGAGGGCGAGATGTCAGCTGTCAATCGACAAATCGTTGCCATAGTTGGTGATCAGTTTTACGTGGTGAGTTGTGGTGCAGATGATTTTTTTTTCTTGTTTGCTGAATTTGGGTGGAAGAGTAGATTACTGAGAATACTTTTTAAGGAATTTCAAAAAATACTGGCAAGAGAGTTTTTCAGCTTACAAATCGATTAATGGATGCTATTGGTAATGACAGTACGACGTCCGTTTTCCATTTGGATACTAAATATTACCAAGCTCATGTAGGAGTTCGTCAGTTCCGTACCGGTACCGATCTCTTGAAGGTGAAGAGACAGGAGCCTGATCTTATGATCGGTGCGATAATTCTCAAGTAGGTGGTGATTCGTACTTTTCTACAGGAGACGATTGCGTAGCAACCAGTTCGTGGTGTGTCAGATATCAGTGTTTGTCAGCACTGTAACAGAGTATATTGTTCAATGATTTGAGAACCTCATCGCAGCTGTGGACTGCCACGTCTAGGCCGCGTTCGTACTCTGCGGCTGTCGAGATTCGGCCAGCCATATTGATGGCTTTACTTTACTCGTCGCGCAATCTTTCACGTTCCAGACCGCGTGACACACATGATGTGTCATGGATTTGCCCCTATGTGAGTTTTGTTGATTATTCTGACTTTTCTTTCATGTTCTGTTGTTGCGAAAACACGTTTTCTGTTATCAACATATCCTTCCTCATAAGCGATTGAAAAGAGGGAGGGAACTTACTGATCAATTATTGATGAAAAATGATGAAACTATTAGGACATGCGCACATTACGGCGGTCGGCAGTGTAAATCGCCGCTCCCTAATCTGAGTCTCCCGAGTAGCAGAATATGAACGGTTATCGGACAGTAACTCAGCTAAGTTCTTTGTCGTACTAAGCACATAATTCGTTCAGGCTTGGTACGAAGAAGGACCTAGAAATTATGGAAAGCGTGGTGAACAGAATCGACTGCGATTCACATGTGAGCTTTTGAAACTGTTACTTATATTCTTTCACTGATTATTTTTATCCCTTTCAGGTCTTGGTGGTTGATCACTGTATGCACGACGATTTGAATTTCGCTCAGTCATGGGCTCACAGCTTCAGATTTGAGCTAGTTATCCTGAACCCTGACCCGGTACTCCATTCGCTGCTTGATAATGACTTCCTGTTTTGAATTAGGGTCTTTGCGTTGCAGAGTCAACGAGAAGAAGCGAAGTCGTTGAGCGAAAAATGCGGCATTGCAAGAGTGGTGGAAGTGATGGAAAACGTCCCGTGGGAACTCAAAAAAGACAATTTCAAAAAGGTTTGCATATCATGGAGATGACGATAGGGTATACTCCATATTCCTAAGAATAAAACGCAGTAGGCGTGGGGTTTGAACATGGCATAGAAAGGATTACTCGTGGGAACAGGGCACATCATCAGTTGGGGATTTTGGTCGAGTCCGTACGACCCCATCCCCTTTCTTTAGGTATTGGTAGACTCCGCCTGGTTCCCTCCTCAAAGAGCTGTCGACGGCGCGGAAAGGGGGGAGGGTATATAGTCCACGTGAAACAAAAGCAGAAAAAGCACGAAAAGTCAGCAACCTCTTTCAGAAGGTCAGCTGGGAATTACGACCTCCCCCTTTTTTATTCCCCAACAAGGAGCGAGTACGAACCCCCGCTTTTTACAACACTCTCTTTACAAGAAAAATCAACTATGAGAAAATTTTCTCAGTTCATACACGACCCCCTCTCTCAGCGACCAGATACGACCCCCTGTGGGGAATTCCCAACAACGATGTGCCCTGCGTTGGATAATTTAGTTTGGGACAATTGTCATTTTGTTCAGTGTTGGACAAAGACATGACCAGAACTGTGTTGAAGTGAAAAAGTGAAAATATCTCAGTAGAAGCACAGCCACCGCCATGTTTTGTTGAAGTACGCAGCCAGCCTAGCACATCTCAGGAATTTCGGGTGTACTTTGAAACTGTAAGCCCGTAGGACGTCTTGTGAGCAGGTGGAAACAAAACTATCGATTGTGAATAATTTATTCTGACGAAGCTTATTTAGGTTACGGGAAAACAGGGATTGGATCGTTTACTAGCGATTATTGAAACTATGAGTGAAAGCAGTGAAGATTCAGAACTGGAGCCGGATGAGGAAGATAAAGGTACTGTCTCCGATGCGATATTATAGCAAAGGTATTGAAACCATTTTATTTAGCTAGCCTTTCGGTTGGTCAAATTCATCAAATCAAGTAATCAGCCTGGAAGGTTAAAGATCAGTTGCTTTATCCCCCTAAATCATTGCTAAATCATGAACCGTCCTTCCTGGCGTATTCAGAGGGGTATCGCTGATCACATTCTGCGATACCGTAATCTCGGGCAATGCCCAATCAGGACGTGGACCCCACGGAGGAGGTATCACTGATCACACCCAACCCCCCGACATGAAGCCGATAGTGATTCAAACCCACACAGGTCAAAGAACGAGGCGAGTTCGGAGCTCGTTTGTAGTG